TTTATTCGCTGTGGCAGCAGCCATTTGTGCTGTTGGTTTTTTGTGTAGCTCATTGCTGTTGAGGAGTTGCATTTTCTGTAGGTGCAGGCAAAGCAACACTGGCAGCATGCTGTCCTACTTCTTGCTCTACTGGAGTTTCATAAGCTGTAGGTGCAGCCATCGCAGCATTTGTACGAATGGCATAAATGATTGTTATCGCGTTTGGTGAAGAGAAACACACGTTTTCTGCAAGCCACATTATAGGTTGAGGTAAAAGTTAGTAAGCAGAAAAAAATAGTAAACAGTGAGTGTGTGAGTGAATGCTATATAGAGATTAAGGAAATTATATTTAAATTGGTAATCGTTGTAGGAATGTGAAGCCATAGCCACAAAGGAACACAGTATTTGTAGTGCTTGATGTGGGTTTTAATAGTATGTGTGTTGGTGTGTGTACATATATGATTATTTTAATGCTAGTGCGTGTATTTGCATGCTTTTTATTCCTTACCAGGCGATGTAGACTTGATGTATTTAGTCGTAGCTGTTATAGCATCTCTGTTGGTTTAGAAGGAGGTCAGTAGTGTTGGTACGTTGATGTAAATATTTTTGTATCGTACATTTTTTAAATATAAATATTGCAGTGTGTGTTAGAGGTGAGCCGTGCACGTGCAGAGAGGACAGTAGGAGCCGGAAGTGGATGAATTTGGCCGCAAAAACGCAGGGCTGATAATAGGGAAGGATAATGTGGTAAATATGAGAACAAATATAGCAGTGCAGTGGAGACACTTATGTTATGGTGAGTGCGTGGAATTGTAGGATATGAAATGTCATAATGTGTTTGCATGTGTGGCAAACCGGAAGTAGTGAGAATGCCCTGGGCTTTAACACATGGCAAGAGAAAGAGAGGGGGGGAGGTAATGAGCAGGGGGGTGTGCAGGTGGTACAGGTGTTGAAGGTTAGCAGGTAAGCTAAAAATAGTGCGAAAAACACACTAACTCACCCGTGAGTGTGCGTGGAAAGTTTGGGGTGTATTGGCGCAATTTGGTTCACGAAAAAATTTACACAAGTGCAAAGTCTGCTTTATCTTTATAGATTTAGACTTTTCCATCTTGGAATATTGTTTTTGTATACGATTTGTCCATGTTCATTTCAATTGTTGAGTTTATTTGGAATATAATACAGTACTTATTTCAATTGTGATGTTGTAAATTTTAGTTAATGTTTACCTAACTCCATTACTCAGGTAAGGCTAAAGCTGCATGACCAGGAGTCAGAGCCATATCCTGTTAAACTTGGCTTGTGACAGAAATTAAATCTGGCCCCATGCATTACATTACATAGCATCTTCAATAACTATGTAGTTTGGGAAGTTCCCAATCGTCATGTAAAAACCATTGCATTTGTTACGGTGATAATGATACGCTAATCGATGCCTGGTTATAGTTAAAGGATCGTTCCCTGCTGGTCAACCATGTTACATCTGCTGATGATTTGGTAATGGCTACTCAATGAAATGGAATTAGGGAATCTTGTTCTGTGGCTTGACAATTCCATCATGAAATGGGGCCTTGCAAATGTTTCAAAAAAAATCACCTGCCTGGGAATTTCATGTCGTACAACACTGTACCTGCTCAACTCTCCATGAATAATACCTGGTTAATGTGTTCACGACCAGCTCTGGTTTGGCAGCCAGTCTCACTTAAAATTTGTCAAGCAGCATTTTTTCATTAGACTGTGTAACACTGTGTGGAAGGTGCCTGGACTTTTGCTCCATACAAAGCTGTGAGTGTCCATCGCCAAGGTCTAGTCCGCCTGAGACCATCCCTCTTCCTGCTATACTGGCATCGCACCCGCCTCTCACCCTTCATCCTGTGGATGTTTGGTGCACAGGATGGCACCATGTAGCCATTTTTAGCTGGCCCGACTGGGTTACATTGGTCACGTGGCCACGAGTCGCTTGTTGGCAAACACAACCCCTGGACCTGGCTCTAGGGTTGATATCAATATAGAATATATACAAGGATGCCCCCCAATAGACTCCCCCTGGAACTCTACCAGACACGTCCAACTGGGCGAAGACACCAGGGCTGGCCGCATGACACGCTGGTGGGCTATGTTGCTCGGCTGGCCTGGGAACACTTTGGAATTCCCCAGATTGAGCTAGAGTCTGTCGCCAGGGAAAGGGAGGCCTGGACCGCCCTACTCAGTGTGCTGCCACCGCGACTCTTGCCAGGACAAGCGTTTTTAGAATCGAATGAAACACAGCTGTGATTCTTCTTGGCCACAGATATTACTCTGTGGATGCAAAATATGATCCTTATTTAAATGACCATCTGTGCTGGCTTATACACTGAAGGCTGGCCTGCCTATGATTCATCCTTAATTCAACCTGACTCTTTTGTATAAAGCTTACAGATCCTTAAAATATCATCAATCTATATATATATAAAAAAGTCAAAAATTGTCTGTCTGTGGGTTTGTTTGTGGGTTTGCGTGTGTTCGCGGTTTACGTAAAAAAAAGGCAGTTACCACACCGTAAGCCCCCGGTGAGCAAGCGCTATTCCTTTTCACATCCATCAACTTTAAATTTGTTTAATAAGCGATTTAGTGTGATTTTTGTGCGCTTACCTTTTATTTAATTCATTATGTCGCATGCACGACCATACCAACTCACGCGCCTTTGGTGGACGGGACGGCCCAGGCTAAGCCTTTGGTGGGAGTGAGGGGGACATTTTCTTTTGCGTTAAAAATGCTATAAAATACACTAAACACTCACATTAATTCTTAATTGTGTGATGTCCCCCCCACCCCGATGCATGCAGTTATTACTATTATACAGTCGCTATATGCTACCACTATAGGCCGTAGATATTACTGCAGAGCGGCCATGGAGATCGTGGCTGGGGCGGGGGTCAGGGATAGCAGCCCAGCCCCAGCCTGCCAAGGTGCCACCTCGGCCGGCTGGACAATCTAGGCGAGGCCGGAGGCTCTGCACGGTGCTAGGCCTCACCACGCCACTCTGTCAGGTGAGTACTATGTGCTATACAGTCGATAAATACTGCTAAAGATTCGGCATTTAATACTGTAGTGATAGCAGGTACCACCACAGTTGGTATGCACTGCTGTAATAATAGGTACCACCACAGTTACTATGCACTGCTCTTAGATTTTTAAAAGTAGGTTTGACATTTTTTTGACCCGGGCAACGCCGGGTACTTCCCGCTAGTATAGAATATAATCATTAGTCTCTTTGACAGGCAAGGCTGCATTGGATTGGTCATGAATCCCGCATTCCCAGTTACCGCATGCTCAAGCAGCTTCTGTTAGTCCAGATATTAGGGGCTAAACAGGCATGGCATTGGCTAGAGAAGAGATTGGAGGATGTGGAGGTGATGGGAACTGCCGATGACTGGAATCAGTAGTATCAATATAGGCCTCTGGAGGAGGCCCGTGAGGTATGCTGCAGGGCAGTTAAGATATATTTGCTCTGCAACAATGATGAGGTCGGAGGAGTGACACATGAATGGGTGGAACACTGTGTTTCTAAAACCCAGCAAGACAGTGGGGAGCACAGCTGGTTCATCTGTAAGTCATCCCTTGACACCTGGATCATTCCCATTATCTGCTGACAAAGAATCCACACTTACATGACCTTAAATTGCACCTATCATGGCATTAGCATTGTGATAAGGTTACTTTCAATTCGTCATGAATGGTAGATGTTTTGTTTATATAATATGTTAATGATCCATGTGAAATGTACATGTATTTAACAGTTTATCTTTGTGGGAGCTTTAGTGCAGTTATTTCACTGCATTATGAACTCAACAAATAGTTTATGGCCAACAGCAAACATGATTGATAACACTAACAAAACAATTGTCCCTGGGTAGTGTTATTTTCTAATTTTTTATGCCTCAAAAGTACAGAAAATTGCTATTATTCAACAAAAAACTTTGCTTTTGTGACCAGGACAGTGATATATTTTTTTCAATGAGAAAACGTGTGCGTTTGTGTCATTCCTTCACTTAAAGTCCTGGTCACAAAAGCAAAGTTTGTGGGGAATACGTTTTAGGCATAACCAATTAAAAAATAACACTTGCTACCCAGGGACAAAAATTGTGTTTCATAGTGTAAGTGAAAGCTGAACTTATTGTGGGCCTCTGCTATGTTGATTGATCTTAAATTTATTACATGGTGAAGTGAAGAAGCATTAATACTGAGCAGATGAAGGTGCAAGGAATGGTTCTGGACACACCACCTTTTTACCATGCCAGTGTGTGACTGTCAAGTTTGTATTTCCAGTAATGTATATTAACTATTGAACATGGAGGTTAAATAAAAAAATGTGTTTATTTTAGTTTTCCTCTGGAACTTTTTTATGAGAATGGGAACAGTCAGAAAAACATCTAAAAACATATGCAGCTGGAGTTAGATCTATTCATCTGAGCATTCAAGCAAATCTGAGCCTGGCTTCACACCTTGAAGTTTTGATTGCACATTAATTTATGCATTTCTGCATAATACAAATAGTATTATTTTCAACACCCTTTGCTATGTTAGCTGAATTTTTCTTAAATAAATATCCCTTTTGTCGCTAGACAGCTGAAATTGTGTGCTTGGATTTTAGATAAACATTTTGAAGATACTAGGGCATCCATGAATATTTATGACCATTTGCCTTCTAATTGTGTGCCTTAACAGCCCATGTGATGAATTGGGGAATCTTTTTAACTTTCTCATGAATATATGAATAAGTATAGACGTGCATATCATGTGTGACTGTGTATATATTCATTCCTCTGTGCCTCGATACTGACGTAGATGGTGTGGATACGTTTTTCTGTCCGCAGCTGACGCTTCCTCTGACGCTTCCTCTGCAGAATTGGTCTCATGGAGCAAAGACACTCAGCGCAGCTCAGTACAAAAATGAAACAATGCGACCAGGATGCAAACAGCACGGATTGTACTGGAAATTTGACACAGCACCAGAGAACTCACACAGGAGAGAAACCATTCAGATGCCCTCTGTGTGGGAAGGCATTTGCACAGTCATCAGATCTTCAGAGCCACCAGAGAACACACACGGGAGAGAAACCCTTCAAGTGCACTGTGTGTGAGAAGGCATTTGCATGGTCATCAAATCTTAAAAGACACCAGAGAACACACACAGGAGAGAAATCTTTCAAGTGCAATGTGTGTGAGAAGGCATTTGCAAGGTCATCATATCTTACAATACACCAGAGAACACACACGGGAGATAATCCCTTCAGGTGCACTTTGTGCTCGAAAGCATTTGCAGATTCATCACATCTTAAACTACACCAGAGAACACACACAGGAGAGAAACCCTTCAAGTGCAGTGTGTGCGGCAAAGCGTTTGCACAGTCATCAGATCTTCATAGCCACCAGAGAACACACACAGGAGAAAAACCCTTCAGGTGCCCTCTGTGCGGGAAGGCATTTGCACAGTCATCAGATCTTCATATCCACCAGAGAACACACACGGGAGAGAAACCCTTCAAGTGCAGTGTGTGTGACAAGGCATTTGCAAAGTCATCAAATCTTAAAAAACACCAGAGAACACACACAGGAGAGAAACCGTTCAAGTGCACTGTGTGTGAGAAGGCATTTGCACAGTCATCAGTTCTTCAGGGCCACCAGAGAACACACACAGGAGAGAAACCCTTCAAGTGCACTGTGTGTGAGAAGGCATTTACAGAGTCATCACATCTTAAAAAACACCAGAGAACACACACAGGAGAGAAGCCCTTCAAGTGCAGTGTATGTGGGAAGGCATTTTCAAGTTCATATCATCTTAAAATACACCAGACAACACACACAGGAGAGAAACCCTTCCTGTGCACTGTGTGCGGGAAGGCCTTTACAGGGTCATCAAGTCTTCAAAAGCATCAGAGAAAACATACAGGAGAGAAACCCTTCAAGTGTACTGTGTGTGAGAAGGCATTTGCACGGTCATCAGTTCTTCAGAGCCACCAGAAAACACACACAGGAGAGAAACCCTTCAAGTGCACTGTGTGTGAGAAGGCATTTTCAGAGTCATCAAATCTTAAAATACACCAGAGAATACACACAGGAGATAAACCCTTCAAGTGCACTCTGTGCGGGAAGGCGTTTTCACATTCACCACATCTTCATAGACACCAGAGAACACACAGGTATCAGAAGAGCCCTAAGGAGTGTAGTCTGAAATCGACTTGTGAAAGTCAAAGTGCTGCAATGAGCCCATCCCTCCTGATAAAAGAACCAGAAGTAAATTCCAGCTTGGACACTATGAAATGTATCAAGGTAAAATTTGAAGAGCCGAAGGTGAAATGTGAAGAAGTGATGGTGAGGAGCGATGAAGTTAAGATAAAATGTGAAGTGATGAAGAGCGATGAAGTGATGGTCAAATGTGAAGAAGTGATGGTGAAGAGCGATGAAGTGACGATAAAATGTGAAGATGAAGATGCAACTCCAAAATTGGACCTTCACATCGATGGAGGCAATGTGAAGCAGGAGGAGAATTCTGACTGTGAGGCAGAGCAAGGCAACTCCCAGCAGTTTGTGGAAGTGGAGGTGTGGGTGGACTTCTTAGACAATACAAAGTCAAATGGAGACCCTGTAGATGTGTAATCTTGACAATGAAGCTCCAATATATTCACGTTTGTCACAGGCCTTTCATGAAAATAACGTGAAGTTGAACTCTCAATTCCTAGGTTCAACCTGCAGAGTAAGAGCGGACAGTATTTGCGGACCTGTGGGTTGGGTAGATCTCTTACCAGGGGCCAGAGCTCCCAAGTATTCAACACGTAATACTAATAGCATTTATATGGTGCTTGGTTATTCGCCTCAGCAACTCGGAATTTTGTATATCTCATCACAAACACTCGAAGAGCATGTTGTCTATATACCTTTTCCAAAAATGTATATTAAGAGTGATTCTGCCTTTTTTTGTTAATTTTGATCGGGATGTAGTGCTGGTGCACGGAAAGGGTGAGTCACCCTCACCCCTCCCCCACTGCCTCCTGCCTTGCCACACAAAAGACAGCTGGAGGATAATTACTCACAAGCCTGTTTGGGAAGTCATAAATGGTAATAATAAACAGCAAACCCAATGGGGGGCTCATGAGATTCTGCGGGAATCCCCAGTTAACTTCAAGAGGAGGCCTCCGTGAAAGAAACTACCCACAATAAAACAAATGTAAGACTAAAACAGCAGGAGTCACGAACCTCCCGCGACAGCGAAATCCATCCAAGGGCAGTTAATCATTACGAGCTGACTAAGGTTTTAAAAATACAACAGTAAAGTTCGAAGCTTAGCTATATCTTCAACCTCAGGATATCAAAATATAACTTGAGAATAAGAAGCACGGATCCTTGGCGATACAGATTGGGAACAAAGGTTAATAAACCCTCAGAATATCTTTGGTAACAACTATGGTATACCACAAATGTTGATTAAGAATTAACCAAATAATAATTATGAAAGTATTAGACCTAGGGTCAGTCAGAAGAGATACAATGCGTAATGTCAATCACACACGACCAATTTAATGTATTCCACGGGATCAGAGCCTCACCAACCGCCTTCGTCTTCCAGGGGGGCATCTCCCCTGTATATCAAATATCACGCAAGAATTCCAAACCGTGACGTGAGTGCTTTGAACGCTGCTCAAAACGTACTTTGAGTCACTTGCTGAGTCAGTACTGGAAAGTGGTATGGTACCAAGCTATAAGAGGTGTAAAATATTTTTTTTGTTTAACTTCAAACCTGTGATGAGAGGACGGAAAACATGGCGACAGCAAGAACGCAAGAACAAATAACATGACTACGAGTGGCAGGCTCCGGGGATTTTCTCGTGACTGGCAAATTGATAGGGAGCTCTGTATCGGCAGAAGCCACGCATCACGGAGAGTTTAAAAAAACAAGTGCGTCATTTAAAGAGGCTGCCAGCCAAGGCTGGTACTCGCAGTATGACAATACAAATGTGGGGAAGAGTGCTGTGGCATTACTATTCCCGGTGGCAAGGTCGCTGTGTACAACCAACACATACGATCAGAGTGACAATCGTTAAAATTGTGCTCCGATCAAAGTCAACCCTGCAAGCGAAAACTGGTGAAACCACTTCGTGAGAGTACCCCTTTAAATCGCAATCCGCAGGTGAAGTTTAGTTGAGGGTCAGATCAGAGACTAACATGGAACGATATAACTTGATTTGTAGCGTGTCCTCTGTGCAGCACGAGTCGTAGACAACTGGAAGAGGACTCTTGATGAGGGGGTGGGGGGGGAGACGACAGGCACTCTCTCACCATGTCACTCCACAGTCTACAAGGATTAAGAGTGTCTGGTGCCAAGGGGGGTGACGCTTGGCAACCAGCAGACGATCTGCGAGTGGTGTCTGGCGACGGGATCATCGACGCAGACGGAGCCGTACCCATCATCCCTGCCAGCACGGGCACCGCGACAGCGTGACCAGCGTGCCGACTCGGCAACCACCCCAGCAGTGGAGAGAGACTGGCCAAGCAGCCGAGAGCGCCGTCTGTTCGACACACGCCAACCCAGCGCCCCTGCTGGAGACCTGTGGCGTTTTCTGTACAAGGAACGCTGCACCTCGGAAGCCGCTAACTCAACAGTTGGCAAGAAGACAACACACACCCACACACAACGCGCATATTGGTACTGAGATTGTTCCAAAAAGTTATCTTGGTTTCGAAAAGGTTTGCCATCCCAAGATGGTGGGTTAACTATTAGCTGATCGTGAAAAGCATTGTTCTGTCCATTGACTTTCATGAATATGGTCGTTTCGAAGTATTTGTCATTATTTTTCATTGCATAACCTTACCAATAATTTAATTGATGACAATGAACATTTATAAGCATCTATGTTACGAATCTACACACAGGAACACTATTGTGTTGAGATGTTTCTTTTGATCACAGAATCTCGCCTGCAAACTCATTAGCCAATTGATAAGCATTTGTTAGCCAAACAGGCACACGAGCATGCACACTATTGTTTCAGGACATTTAGTTAATTGCATAATCTTACCAATTAATTCATTGATGTCTACTTTTGCCATTGGGCACATTTCTTTAGCATGTTGCATATGAATATATATTTTAAGGACTTTTCCTATCACAGTGTATGGTCGCGCTGCTCTGAAGAGTTAGCCGATTGTTCTGTTACTCAATTTTAACAAACGTAACCATTGAGGGTTAACTGTACGGATCAATGAGTAGGACATCTTCAGGAGTACGGTGTCTGATCATAAGTGTATTCGCATATTTGAGTGTTTTTAGATATTAAAGTTGCTTAACATAGAAGAATCTGAGTGGTTACTTCCTAGGTTCATGCATCCTGCAGTGAGATCTGAATTTTGAGACCTGACAGAATTCCAATTAAACAGAATCAGTAAAAGTTAAAGCTAGAATCATTGGATTATCACAATTGGCAATACAACCCTAGACAACGAAGCTGAGCCTAATTTGCATAATCGCATATATTTACATTCCATAAGTTTGCATCATTTTAACAGTTTACACTTTTCATTGTATTATCACGATTGGTAATACACTCCGAGATAATGAAGCCGAGCCTAATTTGCATACTTGCATTAATGTAAATATTTTATAAATTAGCATAATTTAATACAATTACATTTTTGGGCTTTTTTTCAAGACACTATTTTTAAGTAGCACCCCAAGTGGCAGCTGCCTCTGTGTGGCATGTTGCCCTGCACCAGCCTGAATGTGGGCATGAGTCTGTCAGTAGGGGGCGATGATTGTTGTGTAATCTCAGTTGTGTAATTTGTGGGTAATAGTAATAGGTTTTTACCCTTTTAGCTGGCACAAAAACTGACACCTTTATACAAGGGATCATGTTTGCAATATCCACAACACAAGCAGTCAAAAATGCAAACAAAAAGAGACAACTCTGATAATGATATGCACTGTCCTTGAATTTGATTGGTGCACACCCGAGACAGCTTTTCTTAGAGCCGTCTTTTTTTGTTTGCATTTTTGACTGCTTATGTTGTGGTTATTGCAAACATGATCCCTTGTATAAAGGTGTCACTTTTTGTGCCAGCTAGAAGGGTTAAAACCTATTACTATATCTTGTTACTGGCAAAGGAGGTCTCAATGTTTGTGGGTAATGTTTCGAATTTGCCAAATTTTAACCACAATGCCAGCATGCAATCGCCTCCTCGTATTGAATGACAATAGTATTTTTTACAATCATTTGCATATTGGTAATTAATGTTCCTGAACGAACCAGGGATGCCTGTCGGATTTGAACCTTGAACCTATGCAACAAAAATAGAATGCACTATCACTTGGCTTCCCTCAATCTGAGTGCTGCAGGTGTAGGCCTCATCTGACAGATCAACTTCTTGTAAATACGATATAAGATGATGAAGTACATTTCAGTGCAGTAATTATATATTGGCAATATGCCTATCGATAATTTAGAATTATCATTTAATTAATAATTGTCTGATTTTGTGCGTACATATAACATTTTGTCTATCAGGGTCAAACAAGGAATCCGTCCATAATATAGGTTTTGGGTTAGATCCCGTAAATATATGAATGTGTCGTTTAAACCCGCCACCACCCGACACAGCCAACTAGTAAGGGTTGTCACGTAAACAGAACGTAACCAATTCGTCACTAGTACAGCACACCTGAATACATGGTTAGGAGAAAGTGTGTTTTTTGGAAGTAACCTGTACAGATAACTCACGTGAGAGCTGTTGTTCTTGTGATATGGGTCGAGGGGTATATTTCGTGATTCAGGCAGCATCTGCCTCTGGAACAAGTCATTGTCTTTGAACATTCGCATCATTCATCAGTTACAAGACATACCACTTACAAGTTACGCATAGGAGTACATTCTCTACAACACGAATTCTAATTTTGTGTTACGTGTATTTTAGATTTTGTCGAACTAGGACTAGAAATGCTCCTTGCTGATTAACATCTGGATGTTCGTAACCATCGGTTGAAGCAAGCCCGACTGCTGTTGAGACACTGTACACCAATACCGGTCCACAGGTGGCTTGCACTGAATCAATGATGCACTCCCAGACGGCTGTGCTATTTATAGTTTGTTTAAATGTATTTGTTTCGTGGAGAGACCGATAAATGAAAGAGACGTCGTGTCTGCGGATCCGTTTCATAGCAAGGAGGTAATTTTAAGAACACATTTGAAATGCATCATGGATTTTTGTTACTGATTTGTATTCTAGCCTAGGTTTTATTGAATTTTAATAACTGTTTAAATACAACTTATATAAGTGTCCATCGATATCCCACTGCTTACCACATGTTTACTTAAATATGTAAAAGCGCCCCCTCTGGAGACATCGCCTCAAAGTGATGTCAGCGCCTCCCTATCTCTGGTTTGTGACCTCACCAAGAGCAGACCTCGCCTCGTCCACGGGACGTGACGACTGTGCACCGAGTCTTGGAATTAATTTTCACGGTCATCAAATCTTGACCGACACCAGAGAACACGCACAGATTAGGAGCCCCGTCAGGTGCAGTGTATGTGGTAAGACGTTTGTACAGTCATCACATCTTCACAACCGCCAAGGAACACATTAAAAAAAACTCCGTCAAGTACACTGTGTTTGAAGGCCTTTGAAGTGTTTTGAAACTGAAACACGCATAAGGAAATCCATAAAGAGCAGAGTCTGCATTAAAGGTGTGAAATTCCAAGTGCCACAATAAGCCCATAGCTTGTAACGCAAGAACCATTAGAAAATTCTAGCTTGTGCAAAGACTGTCAGCAAGTGTCGACGTGAAGACGGTGTCGGCGAGGCTGGATGCAAAGACAAAGCGCCAGCAAGTCTAGAGGATCTTGGTGGGGAAATTCCCCAGAATAAAAAAGTGAATAAAAATCTATTTTAAAAACACTAACGTAGACTGTAGCCTGGTTCTTAATCGGAGTGATTGTACTGGCAGTCTATAATGTAGACTGTAGCCTGGTTATGAAGTTTGGTGAGTGTACTGGCAGTCTATAATGTAGACTAGCCTGGTTCTTAACCTGAGTGAACGTTCTGGCAGTAAAAAATATAAAATAAAAACCAAGACGTTTCGATCACAACACAAGCGATCGTCTTCAGGAGGAAAGAGGGGGAAGGTCACCGAAGACAACCGTTTATAAGGTTTCAAAAATGGGCGTGGCACAAGAGCTCCGCCGGCGCAGTGAAGTGGGCGGGGACTATGTTCCCTGGGGTAAGAAAACAAGAAAACGACGCAAATCAAGTCATAACTTAACCTGTGCTCCTTTGACAAGAAAACAAATCAAATCATGATCCAAAGTGGTTGATGACATCTTTCCAATGTTGCTGAGTTTATAACCATTATTTCGGTTGAAATTGTGTCTGTATATATGGATGGCTTTATGAACAAATCTTTGTTGATAGCCAGTGCACTTGCAAAGTACCATCATCTTCGAGAAATGACTTTCGTGTGAACCAGCCACATTAAAATAATGATTAGCCACAGCAGAAGTATTGGTCCTACCGTGTTTCAAATCTGCCTTATGGTCATAAACACGGTCCTAGACATGTCGCTTAGTTTCCCCAATGTAACCGCTGCCGCAGATACAGCTTACTCTTTGGTTCTTTCGGTAAAGTCACGTAGAAAGAGAAAATAATAAATTAAAGAATGACTTTACCGAAAGAACCAAAAGCGCCAAATCAAGATAC